CCTCCCCATCCTGCTTCATCTCTCATCACTGCCTCCAGGCTCCTCCCAGTCAACTCGCCTGCCCGCCACCCCCCCCCAGCCGGCAGGGTCAGGAGGGGGTGGGGCCAGAGGTTGGGGCAAAGTGCAGTGCAGGGTTGCAGGAGGAGGAGGGGGGTCTCCAGGAGCGCGAGGACCAGTGGGGCCTGCTGGGGGACCCCCCCTATCCTCCAGCTGGTTCCCCTAATCTCTGTCCATCCATCCGTGTCTCTTAGGGCTGGGGGGCGGGGCAGCAGACCTCTGGCCCTGAGCCGCTGGGCATGCATGGTGCAGGGAGTGGGGCGATGGGGCTGGGGAGCCCCCCCTCCTCTCTACCTGTGGAGGAGAAAAGTGTGTGTGTGAGTGAGCAGGAGTGGGGGCAGGAGTGCAGCTGTGTGTGTGTGGGGGGGTGTCACATGCCTGCTTCCAAAATCTCCTCCCCTGGTGAGGGTGTGTGTGCACACATGTGTGTGCACCACAAGGTTGCATGACTTGGGGCTATGATGTGTGTGGTTGCGTGTCCATCCGTGTGTAGCTGGCTTGGGCCGGTCCTTGCCCCTGTTCCTGAGCTGTGTGTGGCCCCAGTGTGTAATGGTTGTGTCTGAGTTGTGTCCGGGTCTTGCGTGCCGGGGGCTGGACAGGCCGACATGCGTGTCCATGTGGGGCTGGGTGTGCGGGGAGGAGGCTGCACGGATGTCCTTGCAGGTTGTGTCTGGGACGCTGTGTGTGTGAGCTCTGTTGTGTGAGCTAAGGGACAGACTGGGTCCCGGTATCCTGGGTCTGATGGGCCACTCAGTTGGCCCCTGGGTGCGTGTCCCCTTCTCACCAGTAGGTGGTGCCCTGCGTCGCATTGGGAGGTGTGAGGCTGTGTGTGCATGTGTGTGTGTGTGTGTGGAGGGGGGTGTCTGGGTTTGAGGGGCTGTGTCGCTGCTCCCTGACCCCCCCCCCCAAGAGTTGTCAGTGGCCTGGAGCTGTGTCCCCTGAGTTGTGCACCGATGTGCAGTGGGGGAGGCAGTGAGATGCTGTCAGCAGAGCGGGAATGTGTGTCCATGGAGCCAGGGGGTGGGGCACAGCAGGGGGCCTGAGCAGGCACTGCTGCCCTTCCCGAGCCTCCCTGCAGGTGGGGCATTTGCCCCGCCCCATGCAGCTCCCCGGGACGGTGGGGCAGGTAGATGGCGCCCTTGCCTGAGCCTGAGAAGGATGCTCCTTCCCCGGATGCTCGCAGCCCAATCGACACACCTGGGGGAGGGGAGCCCCTTGCACAGCACCCTAACCCTCACCCTCACCCTCACCCTCACCCTCACCCTCACCCGACCACAAGCGGCAGCCCTCAGCCAGTGGAGGACCCACGCTGCTGGGCGGGCGCCTCCGCGTGGGATTAAGTCCTCTGCGTCCTGTGGGTGGTGAACCCTGAGGCCCGAGCTCCACGCTGTATCCACTGCTTGGGCGCCCTGGGGCTCAGGCAAAGGAGGGACCTGTTGGAACGCTGGTGTCTC